AGTGCCTGTGGATAGTCCTGACAGCAGAATTAGGTCTCACCTGTAGTTATTAATAAATATTAATAACCAAACAATAACCAAACCAAACGTAGATAAAAAGCCTTTAAACCCCATTATATCTGTTGAAACATCATAATGTTGAAACTGAAGAGTGAGAGTCACCTTTTCTTTGTGGTTATGTTGTATTTTTGTTTGTTTTATTTTAGAAAATGTTCTTGACTTAATTTCAAACTTATCTTTGCAGTGTAAGGCTGAAAGCTTTATGCCTATGAAAGTTGAGACTAACTTCATCTTCTAAGTAAAGGATTAGAGCATGACAGATGACACAGAAAAATCACAATCTGGTGATTTCTAAGAAAGAAGCAATGCTTTTGATCAACTGCTATGTATTGAATAACTGATGACTGTACGTAAGTACTATACTGTACAAATGTGAGAAACATAGTACCCTATGTGCTTTGCAACTACTGTAATAACTTCTGCCTATTGGTTTTTTGTTTGCGAGAAATTTTGCAAAAGTTTTTATCAGATCTTTTCCCTATATTTTTCTATTAAGGGTTTCTTTTCAATAATATCAGAAAAAAAAATCAAAACAATTTTAGTCCAAAACTATAATTATACTTGAGTTTGTTGGAGTATAACCCTTTATCTTTTAAACAGAATGAACTGTACAAGAGGTCAGGAAGACATTTAAACATAATTTTATTCATTTTATTTTTATGAACGTATCCATACTAATATCAGAATCTACTTAGTTTCTGCTGACTGAGTGCAGATAATCATCCTCTGAAGAATTTTTAATTTATGTGCTGTAGATTTAGGTGGAGGAAATGTTCACCTGTTCCCAAGGAGCACTCTGTAGCTGCTGCTGACTTGAAGTGTGTAGTCAGACCTAAAGATGCTTACAACTGTGCTGCCAAGATAAGGACACTACAATGGGATAGAGGGATGCTGAGGTTTTCCATTTTCCTTTGTATAAAAAGAACCCAAATCAGAAGAGATCATGATGGTGTAAAGGAGCATTGTAGTTTCTAGAACCCTAGTCAAAACTACAAAGATATGCATTATTCAAAGTAAAAAGTGATTAAAGACCATGTCAAATCTAAGTTTATATAACTAGGAAACAGTGCTTCTCAGAATGTAAGATGGTAACAATGACTATGTGCTTTGTTTTCTTTTCCTGGTATCAAGAGAGACTACAAGAATTTGCTGTAAATATATGAGTTTCTTTTGCTGTCAACATAAAGAGCTGACCCAGCTTTTTATTTCTTTTCAAGGGATTAACAAATAACTCTTAAGTCATACACAAGTGTGGGATCAATTATTCATAGCTAATTTTCTATTATATTGTTAAGCAAAACCTCTGGGAGTGATAGTTTACGCCATACATCTCTGGTTATTGCATTACATTTCAGAAAAGCACTACAGTTGGTTCTTGCTGGGTTTATTTCTGACTGCGATCTCATACAATGTGAAATGAAATGTTAATCAAAGCAGCCTGGATGGACAAACGATCAGTGCAACAGTGGCTCTGAAACAAACAGATGGATGTGCTCTTTTAACTTGCCTGAATGGGGGCTTGTGAGGAGAAAGATTTTTGAAACCTCATACATAACTCAGTACAAAGTTGGAGGTGGGCTCTGTGCTCGTACACAGTTGAATTTTAAACATCTCACTTAAGATGCATTCAGATACAACCCGCATTTTTTGTTTGTGAAGTGTATTTCAATGTTTAAGTCCCACAACAAATAATTTCTGCCATGTATATTCAGCAAAGAACACTTCATGTTTCTGTACCAACATTTATGCATTTTTTTGCACATGAAAATGAAGCCTTTTAAAAGAAGGTCTTTTGCTTATTGTACAAGTGAGTTGGTACAAACTGTGAAGGGGCATGTATTACAGACCTTCAAAGCTTTTACAGTACACAAGCTTATCAGTTTTAATCCTGTAACACCTAGATTATTCTTAAAATACAATGTTTATTTTTGGATCCTATTTACTGCTTTAAATCTAATAAAAGCACGTGTTACATAAACTCTTATACACTCGTAATTTTCATTTTGCAAGCTGGAACGTTTTAAAAAAAACAAAAGGAACGTTGGCTTCAACAGGATAACTCAAAGACCTCAAAACACCAGTTTTACACCAATTTAATTATTTTGGTTAAAGGTAGGATTTTTTCTCTTATCATCTTACTTAGTTCTCCTACGGTAAGCTCTATGTGTGCTAATAGAGATTTTGTTACCTGATTAAGTATCCAAACAAAGTTGCATTTTAGCTATTCCAGTGAAGAAAAAAAAAAGTGGTTTGTAGGTAAATCTTAACATTCTTGTGTTTTCAGTTTTATGCTTAAACAGTTGGACAATAAATGGGAGGCAGCAGCAGTTAATGGGTGCTGGAGTGGGAGAGGATCAAACATTTGAGAAAGAGCATGACAGAAGGATAGAACTTTGTTTCTGCTAAGGAAGAGATTTGTTCACTGTTCTTTATCATGTTTATGGTGAGAAATAGATCTCAGCCTCTAAAGTACTTAAAATACACCAAATCAACTGTTTCCATGATTTCTGACACACAGCCAGTGACTTCCTGTTGATTTGGTTGCTCTTTCATCAAAAACACCAGGGAATGTTGTAGAATATCTGTAGCAAATTAAGGAAATCTGTTTTTAATTGAAACAGTTACAGTCTGAAACAAATAAAATGTACATTTACTGTTAAAACTTGCACCAATTATTTTCCTTAACGCTGTATTTGCTAACAGGATAATTTGAGGTGCTGAACATAAGTGCACTAAAGTACTCTTAGACTTCAGATGAACAGTATCTAATGGGGAAGGGAGCAGTCAGCCCCATCTGAACCTTATCATGGCAAGTTCTATATGCAGTCATGAACCACATTTCCTTTCCAAGATTACTTGTAACACATTTACAGCGTGCTTGCAGTATATTCAAGGTGATGTGTCCAGTTATCATTCTTCCCTCTCAAATTACAAACCACATCAGTCAAAGCTAATATGAGCTGGGACATACGGCATCTCAAAGTGCGTAAGCTGCTCAGCTTCCACCTGTGCCTGGCCTTCCCTGGTGCCAGGAAGTTCAGGGCCCATAAGGTGTGAATCTGGGCACTTTTTTCAAGACAGAGTAGCTTTTAGGCATTCCTACCAAAGGAGATGTTCCTTCCCTGTTCTTGAATCATTCACACGCTCCTGCTCTACATCAGACCTTCTTCTCTGCTAGGACACGATCATATAACTGATCAGTAAAGCAGATGAGAGTTTAACTTAACTGATTTTCTTTTCCCTGGTCTAGCTGTAACCCAACCCCGTTTGCCATACAGCGTTATAAATGCTTTTACAGGCGCAAAGAAAGACAGAGCACAGGTGTGAAAGTGAACAGCTTACAGCAGAAGCAGAGCTGTGTTTCTCAGCCCCACTGCAGCCTTATCGTGATCTAATCGTGAAACTATGATACTGCTCTATTGAAATTCAGCTTAGGAATTAACATATTGGTGAGCACGACTGAAATCAGGCTTTTAGCTGCTCACAAACTGTACGAAGAGGATCAGGAATGTATCCGAGACATATAAGCAGTCTCTACACTTTAAGAGATCACAGCAAACATAACAGAGATTGTGTATTTTATGCTCACTGTAAAGTCAAAACCATCTGAAGAAATGAAATGGATCTCAAAAGGCATAGTGTAAGGTGTTAGAAATTGCTACTCGTGACCCTGATTTCTGCTGGAAACTTCCTGGAACTCACACTTCTCTCAGTGTTTCAAACATATGCTTCCTATCTCTTCTTTAGGTAAGGCCTCCTATTGTTGTGTGTTTTTGTTTGCTTTTCATCATTAACATCATTATCATTTTTGAAAGGGTCAAATAACAAGCTTTAGCAGTGAGTTAAACGTCTGTTTTCTGAAATTACACAGTGGCAGGGCGTGGAATTGAACCCAGATGCTTCGCTTAGTCTTCAGCTGGGCCGATAACAAAGGAGGGTTTGCTTTTTTTTCCAGCTCTTATCCAGTTCCTCCCTTTAAAACCGAGACGTGCCCTGATGCGTAACTGCTGCCCGTTGCTGTACGCTCAGCCTAAGTCCGCTGGCTGAATCCTTCAGTCACGACTGCTGGGAACGTAAGCGGGACCTACCCTTGTTCTCTAACGCCAGGTTATGCAATCAGATTAAAAAGCCATCTGCAGCACAAACCCGAACTGCGGCATAATCGCGTTCCCTGGCTCAGGCAGGTCTTCGGCTTACACGGGATCTGCGTCTCCTCAAATCGCTCGCTGACCTCCCGGTTACTCTTCTGATTCCACAAGCGCACGGTAATGGATACGGCCACATATTTCCGCGGTTACCTCACGGCGCTCGGAGCGCAGGCAGCCCAGATGCCTGTTCGCGAATTTAAGGGTTCAAAAGGGACGCAAAGCCTCCTTTTTGCGCTCTGAACGCACTCGGGCGAAAACAGGTCAGAGCCGGCCCCTCCGTCACCGCAGCGGCTGAGCTGTTAAAGGCTTTGCGTTAACGCGGCTCTCGTGCAGCCTTCCGAGAGCTGGAAACGCTCGCTTTTCTCGATATCACCAGCGTTGGGCGGCGCGGCCCCGCCGAACGCCCGCATTTCAAATCCCAACGGCCGCGCCGCCGGGGAGGAGCGAGGGCGGCCTCCCACCAGCCAGCCCGAGCCGCCACCGCCCCAGCGCGGTCCGGCCTCCTGGCGGCGGGGGGCGGGCAGAGCCGCGGCGCGGAGCTGCGCCCCGCGCCCCTCCAGCGCGGCCGGGGCCGAGCGGAGCGCCTCCCCCGCCGCGCACCTCGGGAGCCGTAGTTTCTCGGCGTGGCCGCTCGCGGCGAAGGACGGCGGGCGGAACTGCGTTTCCCGGCGCGCCCCGCGGCGCGGCTGCGAGCACGCGCGGCGCGCCGGGGCGGGGCGGCGGGCAGGTTGCTGTTGTTGCATAGGAAACAGCTGAAGAGTCTCCACATGACAGAGGGGGAAGGAGGAAGTGGGGCGGCCCGTAGGGCGCCGCCAGCGCGCCGGTAGCCGCGGGGCTCGGAGCTCGGGCGCCCGTCGCGCTGCGCGTCCCCCCGCGGCGGGCGACTCTCGCGGTCCGGGCTGAGCGCGGCCGGAGAGCTCTCCGGGCCCGAGTGCCCCCGCCAGGGAAAAGCGGTGGCGGCGCTTGCGGGGCTTCCCGCCGGCCCGCCGCGGGGCATGAACGGCTTCGCTCCCGAAGAGCTGCCCCAGCGCGGGGCCGACCCCGCCGCCGCCGCAGCCGCGGTGAGCGGTGCGGGCTCCGTGGCGGAGGTGCCGGCGGGGCTGGCGCCCCCGGGGCTGGCTGCGGGAGCCGCGGGCTCGGCGGGCGCGGCCGGGGCGGGCGGCCCCGGGGCCGGGCAGCTGTGCTGCCTGCGGGAGGAGGGCGAGCGGTGCGGCCGCGCCGCCGGCAACGCCAGCTTCAGCAAGAGGATCCAGAAGAGCATCTCGCAGAAGAAGGTGAAGATCGAGCTGGACAAGAGCGTAAGTCTTGCGGCGGCGGGCTCGGCTCGGGGGCAGCTTTTAAAGTTCTTTTTTGGCGTGTTTTCTTTTGTTTGCGGTTTTTTGTGTGTGTCTTTTTTTCAATCGTTGTTGCTGGCGGCGGGGAAGCGCCGTTTCCCGGTCCCTCCTTTCCCGGAGCCCGCCGCCGGAGGTTAGCCCTGCCCGCAACGCTGCCGCCGCCCCGTCCCGCCCCGAGCCCCGCGCCGTCGCTGCCCCACCCGGCGGCCGTGGGCGCGGGGCCCCGTGCGCGGAGGGCTCGGTGCCGCCGTACGGTGCGGCCCTGCGCAGGGGAGCCGGGGCGTGGGGGGAGCGGCCCGCGTGTTGCTTGACCTTGCGGAGGTAAAGCCGTACGGAGCGGGAGGAGGTGGCGTTTTGCCTCCCGCGGGACGCGCCGGAGGCTGCCCGCCTCCCGTGGGCTTCTCGGGTTTTTGTGCGCGTTTGTTTGCCGATCCCCGAGTCGCGGCGGGCGGTTGGAGGGAGGGCTGCGTGCGCGCGTGTCCCCGCTGCGCGCGGTTCCCTCCGAGTCAGCCGGGAGCCGCCGCGCTTCCCCGTCCTCCGGCCGAGTCGCTGGAGGTAACGCGCGGCATAACAATGCCTCCGTGCAGCGGAATCCGGCAGGAGAGCTTCTCCACCTCGCTCCGCGTGAGCGAGGCTGCCGAAAGAATGTCTCCGTAGATGCCTCTGTACCGCAAGGCTGGGAGGAGCTTGCATGGATTTGATTGAAAGATGCGGTCTTACTCTTGTAGGCGAGACACCTTTATATCTGTGACTTCCACAAAAACTTAATTCAGAGTGTGAGAAATAGAAGGAAGAGAAAAGGCAGCGATGACGATGGTGACTCACCAGTGCAAGACATCGACACTCCCGAGGTAGCCAACGGTTTTTTCTAATAGTTACTTTAAATCTGTACTGCTGTGCCTGCTTTGGGGAATGGCTCCTGGTTCATTCAGCTTTTGATATGACAGAAGCAAGCTGAACTTTACAGTGCATTTTCTGTATTAAATGTGCAGAATCTCAGACACAGGCTGCAGTATTGAAATTTCCTTACAGTTTTTGGCTCCAGGATCCTGCTGGAAGTTGTTTTGCTACATATTAAAATCAGTCTTTGTAAGAGTTGACAGGACACACAGGACTTGGGCTATAAATATTTCTCTGCCACATCCCTCTCATCCTCTCCTTCCATTTGAAAAGTGTTGCAGATGGTACCTGTAGTTACCACTTAGTGTAGCTGGAAGTTTCTCGGTGAAAGAGCTCTGGTTTTAGTTCTTGTTGGGGCAGAGATGCTCAGGCAGTTTTGCTGAAAAGGAGCTGAGATAAGAAGGCATTTCTTCTTGTCTTCTCTGCTGCAGGCCAGTGAAACACCACCCATTTTGGAAGTGAACTACTTTCAGACTTTTTTCATGGTATAATGTGAATGCATTTAAAGCTTTCTTCTTCCCACATGTGTGCTGGATTATTTCTGCTACAGTCTGTGTGTTAATTGTGTGCAGAGCCTACCTGGCCTCAAACGAGATTTTTCCAGCATTCATCAGAAGGTATTTGAGAAGCAGTAACTTATCCTTATGGTCAGCATCAGCAATGTAGGTGATGAAGCTTCATGCAGGAATCTCTGCCTGGAGGCACAAGGCTCAAGCCTTAAGGCTCTGACTGAGAGGATTTTAGGAGATTGGAAGTAGTTTGATGCTGGGCTGTGGATTTTGTCAGCTAAAAACATTGGATGGCATCTCTGAAAGCTCTCTACATGGCTTGAGGTAACTGTCTGGCAGAGTTTTAACTGCAGCTTTTGCCTCTTTACTTGCTCAAACAAGAATAAAGTATGACACAACTGATGGATATCCTTAGAACGGGAGAAAAGAAGTGTATTTTCAGTGGTAGTAGTGCAGGAGAGAAGGTATTTCTGGAGAGTTTTGGGGCAACAGCAGCATGCACTTCCCATGTGGTGCTCTGAGCCTTAGATGCCCACCAGCCCCTGACCGCCTTGATTTTGAATTGCTGTCCCGTTTACTGCTGACCACCTGTAGGGCCTTCTAGTTTCCAGCAGTAGATGTTAGGAGTGATTCGTACCGAGAGGCACTCATTTCCACAGTGCTGCTATCTTGAGTATCAGGGCATGCCCATCCTTTAACATATAAGGCAGGGTTGTATCAAGTCTGGCCAGGTCACAGGAGTGCACTGGCACTGTTGTTGCCTTAAATGTTGCATAGTTGAGGCTGCTCAATGACTTTTAAAAAGGAGTTAATGCCTTAACCAGTCTTTAATGCAGGAAGTTTGGAGAACACTGCTGTAATTGCAACTGACTTAACAGAATTTCTTGTTCAACCTGCTTTCTTAGCTTCCTTTCCTCCTCAGTCTTCTGATTAAACTTTCTTTTATGCTGTCAAGGAGGTGGGAGGGTAAGCTGTTGCTGGGAGAAGTGGCTGTTGATCTGAGTTCATGGGATTAAAAGCTGAGCGAGTACTGGGTTGAGACTGTGTATTTATATCCCTGTGAGGAGTTTGTGCAATGCTGTGAACTGTCAGCTCACACTGAAAAATAGTTTTGGGCAACTGTGCCTGTGTACATAACTCCTCCTTGTGCTTATTGTAGCAGAGATATTCTTGGAGACCAAGACTGGCTTTTTTTTCCTCTCCCACTTCAAGCCAAAAACCTTCACGTGCTAGACTTTTTCTTGGTTGTAATGCATGCTGTCTCATGGTGCAGCTATGCTGCTATATCTTATGTGTAACTTGTGAAAAATTTCATGGCTGAAAACAAAATGCAGAGACCTCCTTTTGAATCAGCATCTTCATAGATGTTATGAGATTTGTTACTGTGCTTTGTGTCATCGTGCTCAAAATGGGGAACAAATGACAATAATAAAAGAAAAAAAACAGAAAAGATAATAGTACTGTAAGTTCTAAATATTGTCTGTTGCTAACAGGAGAGAGAACCATACTCAGTAACATTAAACTGCTCTGAAGCTGAAATTGAATGTTTTTCTTTCTCCTGGAAGGTGTGGAGTGGTATTTTTTCTGTCAAAATGAGCTCTACTGAGCTGACAGTCTATGGCTGTGTATGTGTGAATTTCCAGGATGATGAGGGAAACCTTGTCAATTACATCAGGTTGCTTTCTTCCCCTTTCCTCCTTTTCTTTTAGGTTGATTTATATCAGTTACAAGTGAACACACTTCGAAGGTACAAAAGACACTTCAAGCTACAGACCAGACCGGGACTTAACAAAGCACAGCTTGTTGAAGTACGTATGAGTGTTTATTCCATAATAGAAAATGCAATTTGCCATGGCATACGTTATGTTGGCTTTTTTTCCTGTACAGTGTGATCCTTGCATGAAGTGCATATATAATCTGGGTTTTATGAGAGCAAAAAGGAGCTGCTTATCCAGTTTCCTTCACTGCCACAGCTCCTGAGCCAAGTAAATCAGAAGTAAGAGCTCTTTTCAGAAAAGGGGCTCTTAACTTTCAGAAGGAGTGTGTGCTTCTTGAAAACAGTGAGCTGATCTGTGCATCTTTGGATATCATAGAACCATGGATTTCTTACCTGTGCATCAGCCACACCTTCAGCTTAAGTATCCTACTGATGATAACTAGAAATTGAGAGGTAGCAGTGAAGTTCTAGTGAGATTCATGCTTGGCTTTAAGAAAACTGATTATCTGTTCATATACAGAAAGTGCAGAAACCTGAAGATGTCTTCTATTGATCATTAATCTCATTTAAAAACTGAGCATCTATTATCACAAAATAGAAGTTCATGAAATTTTTTTTTTATTATCAATATTTCTAAAAGCACTTAAGTTGCATGTGAGTGCAGATGTATGCATTTCTTCTGTATCGGAGTGCAATTTGCAAGTACTACTTTTGCTCTGCAAAGATACAAATATGTGACAGCATTGGTGATCATTTCTGCAGGGAGGGATAGCTGCCACCTTTTCATTTTTGTGCTGTAATGCTTAGTTGTACTTCAGTGCAGACATTTTGTTGATCTCTCTACTAATTAGCACAGATTAATGCCAAGGTTATTAAATGTGTGAGAGCTCTACAGGCCTAAGCTGTAGAAATACAATGCTACTGCCTCTCCAGTTAAGTTTTTTAATTTGAGAGTTGATGCACAGGTACATCCAGTTCTTGAATTAGCAGAACTGATTTGAAAAAGCACAAAAACTTTTGTTCTGTAAAACTGGCATTTCTAAGGGTCTGCTTTAGTGCATCTCACGAGATGCTTGCAGTAGCTTATGCTTCATGTGCTGCTCCATGTGAACAGGCAAAATTTCTGTCACGTGCTTTGTTTGACTGACTTAAACCCTGTGAGCTGTAGCTGCAGAATTTACTATCATTTACAGGGCATATAATTTCTTGTTACTTGCTTGAATGTACAAGGGATTTTCTGCTAGCTGTTACTTGTAAGTCCAATTTAAAGGGCTCTGTCAAACTGTCTCCATTTAGTTTTCTTTTTTTTTTCCAAGGTATGTTTTGAAAAGCTCTCTAACTTGCTAATTTTATTAAGTATTTATGCTTATGCCTTGTGGTAGATCAATGAGCAGTCTCAATTTCTCACTTCCTCTTGCTAATTTTAGTCCAAAAAAAGTATTCTGCAAAAAGCTGGAAAACAGACAGGGGCAGTCAGTCCATCTGAGTATTTCCTTATAAAACTGACGGTCCTTTGTGCTGAAGGGGCAAAAACTTCAAACTTCAGCTTTGATAACTGTAGAAGTTGACATATTTAGCATGTACAGCATTGTGGGTTTTTGTCATTGACACCCCTGTTTCAAAGAGCTAAATCTTCAGTGCTCATTCTTAAAACTTCTTGTATTTGGATCTTCCTTTTTTTGTACACAACTTGATACAGACTTACAGACCTCCTTCAGCCTGAGTAGTGAGCAGTAGCCTCATTTGTGTGCCGTAGGTCCATGATAGTCTATAGATGTTATGCTCTGTATTCAAGGAGTGACTGCACAGATGTAAAGATACTCCTATGCTTGTTGGGAGAAATCTTTTCTGATAATTTTGTGGGCATTTTACTTGAGAAATTGTGCTGTATTTGTTTCAGAGTACTCAATGAAACAGTTCCTTTCATACCTTACGTATGACTACTAAAGACTTTCTAAGGGAGGCAGTGTTTCCTTTATCCTAAGTTGCTTGATCAAGCTTTTAATGTAGTTATGTAAATGTGAATTTTCAGTTTGTGCATATAAGTGTTTAATTTCCTTGCATTCTTCCTTTGTAGATAATTGGCTGCCATTTTAGGACAATTCCAGTGAATGAAAAGGACACCTTAGCGTATTTCATCTACTCGGTTAAGAATGACAAGAACAAACCAGATCTAAAGATGGATAGCAGTGTTCATTAGGCAGGGAAGATTGGGACTGAGACTCAGGCCACAAATCGAAAGACTGAGGGTTTTTGTTGATATGCAAAAGCTTTCTTTGTAACTTTTTCTCCCCAGAGAGTTTCTCTGTTTTATTTTTTCATAACCTTGATGATTTGTTTGAGAACCATCTCTTATGAAACAAATTTCCTCACAAACTATTTTAAATAAATATTACTGATATTGTTGCTCAAGTGGGTGTGTCTAACTTATTCAGTGTGTTATTTGTACTTAGTAGTTAAGCTTTGACTACTTATGTAATGATTTAAAAATATTTTTCAATTAAAGTGTACCAAGGATACATTTATGAATGTACTTCAAGTTCTCATGATGCAATGCTGACTTGAAAACAAACAAACAAACAAAAAAAACCCTGAATAATGGTAGATTTTGCAATGGGCTCTTTTTCTTGAGGTTAAAAGTTTTAACTGACAGTTGCAGTTATTAGCTGGGCAGAAATGACTGATTTGGTATATTAGGCATGCTATTTCTTGTTCACTGCATGTGTTAACTCAGACCTGTTTAAAAACAACACACTAAAAGTAACATGAGCAAAATATTATTTTAATTTGATATCTTAGTAAAGTCTGTGATGTTAAAGACAGTGTTATGTATGATTTCTTGTATTTTCACTGTTAGCTTTGTGTTAATCTAAACATGTGGTACATGAAACATGATTTCCTTTTGCTTTAAGCTGTGTGCATTGGCTGAAGAAAAGGCAGGAGAAGAAACTTAAAGAAGAGGAAGACACAGCTTTAGTTTATTCAGTTAGCATTCATTGCAGCTTCTGACCTTAGCAGATTTTCAAAAGCTCTTTGAAAAATGGGGAAAATGAGAAAGTGGTGTTTCTGTGGTCTAATCTGCTGGTGTTAACTTTGTGTAGTTTTTCTGAAAGACATCACTGCAACCAAGATGCTCCATTTTGCTCTTTGACCTGTGGCACTCTGTTGCTTAAAACTGAATGATAATAAACCCAAAACTCAAACTGGCTTCCTTCTCAGGAGCTATAAGTACCCTAATTTCTTTCACTTACAGTCATGTGTCTTTCCACACTGGGGTTTTGCACTGTTGGCCGAAGTTCAAGCTGGTTAGCAATACCAGGCTGGTGCAGGGTAGAGTTGGTAATCTTTTGGAAAGATGTTTCAGTACTCATTTCATGGCAATGACTGTAAAGTTGTTTATGAAGTATCCTTTACACAAGTTACATTTGTTATCTACACAGCATTAGTTGGAGAGACAGCTGGGGAACCCAGTGCTGAATTGAGCATCTGAAGGATAAAGGCTTTTTCTTTATTACAGAGTGGAGAATAGGGGTGGATGTTCCTGCATAGATTTGGCAGGGCCTGTAGAAGCTTCTTCTGGAGGGGAGGAGAGTGAGAAGAGAAACAAAAACAAGCTTATACTGGAAATAGTTCTGTGGCCCTATGCTGCTGCATGTGGGAAGTGGTAAACTTTATTTTCATCAGATTATGTATTTTTTCACGTCAATAATGGTAAAAAGGAAGTAACTGAAAATCATCTACTGACTTTACTACCCAGCTGTGCATCTGCCTTAATTTTTGTAGCTGTTGCACTGGAAAGCTATGAATGGCAGATATACACTACCTGATTGGCAAGGAAAGTAGATGGCACAACCCACAAAAACTACGTCTTCTCTGTTACTAGAAGCTTATAGAGGACTTTGCACAAAAGTGAATGCTGTATGTTTTCTTAGCAGAACACTAAATTTGATAATTTTGATGGTGAGTTGCCAGACTTCCCATCTTCTATCGTCCTTAATTGATTATTTTATTAGAAGGCCAAATGACTCAGGAGTAATTATATGAACCAAACTTTAAAAACCTGATGATACAAGCTGTTTGTTTCAATAGTCTAAAAATTACTTGGCAAAAATAGTAAATGTAGATTTACTTGAAACTCTTACTATTGGTTATGTATAATTAACCTACCACTGTGCATATCCAAGCATTATTTATTAACAGATGAAGTAAAACAATCTTTGTGCTATTTCACATTTATTTATGAAAAATGTTTGGCGTGCTGATGGTAGCAGTTATCACAGCGTGGTGTTGTAAGGTTATTATCATAGTCATCAAGGTTGAAAAAGACCTCTAAGGTCGCCTAGTCTAACCATCAACCCATCCCCACTGTTCCCACTAACCATGTCCCTAGGTGAGCAGTGCTCTAAGCTCAAGGGGCAAGACAGTTACATTTGTACTACATGTTCCATGTTACTGTCCCATTCTCCTTCTAAGTCTTTCCGAATATAGATTATATATATATGTTCTATCACTGCTGTTATAGTGTTTTGAAAGCTCAGTCTTTCAGGCTTCAAGATTTCAGATGCAATTAACAAGCTAGACATAATTATTACTTACACGTACCTTAGTACTATTAATATGAATTTTGACTCTCTTTCCAGTGGAATTTTCAAATATGAGTAATGCAAATTAGTGGGTTTTGTTTTTTGCAGGCACCCAGATAGAAGTGGGGGCCTGAGTGCAGAAGTTCCACATGCTGACTAGCATTGCCTTAAAGCATTGCTAACAGTGAAGCAGCAATAAAGCAATAGGAAGCTGCCCTGCAGTGGATTCCAGCAAGAGTCACTCTTAGCCATGTGAAGGCTTAACCTTGATGTTCCTTTTTGAAAATTAGTTGAGAATGTTGTGGTTCTTAACAGAATATATACACACATATAAGTATATTTATTTATTCATTTGCTAGGAGATAAATACTGGGACAATTATGAGCAGATACAGTCCTTCACATCCTTATGGAGCTAATTAAGGCAGCTACCATATCCAAAAAGAGAACTTCTTACACATTTCACAAAGCATAGAGAGGAAGTTTTTCTCCAGTTTCTACAGTGTGCTTAGAGAGAAAGTTTATTTTGTTTTGGCTGTTGCTGGCTTTGTTTTTTCCCTTGAAAGTGTATTTTGTGATTGTGGAATGATGTCAGTTGTCCTCAGTGGCAGGCTCAGTGTTGATCACTCACTGTTACAGGGGATCACAAAAGATATCTTCGGTCCAAAGAAAATCTCCCTGAAAGATATTAGATACTTAAATAATTATGAGAGCTTTAACATGTGCATTTCCATGGTTGGGTATTTTTTTCCAGGTTTTGCTAAGATGTGTGTGTGATCACTGTGTTTATGGGATGCCCTTCCAGCAATGCAAATGCAGCTGCAGGTCTGTATGAAGGCACTGTATATTTTTTCCTCTGCTCGCCTGGTTCAGAAACATTGGCAAAACTTCACTGACTGACCAGTGTGCCGGAGTTCTAGCATGGTGTTATAGCTTTGGGAGGGTAAACTTTATCAAATATTTGATGATATAAAAAAAAAAAAAAAAAAAATCTCTCATGTGTGCACATACTATTTAGTGCAGTTAGTTCTATGGGCAGACCTACAGAGTAGATATTCTTTATATCAAGGTGGGTGAAGAAAGACCTCCCTATGTATTTATATCCAAGTAAGAGGTTTTCTGGAGCTGTTAAAGCTCTGTGGTTAAAGCTAGAAACCTGAAGTGTGCTCACTGTGAGGGCAGAGTATCTGATGAAACAATTACTTATACCCTGTTTTCAGTTTGAATGTGAAGTTCCTATTTTTAGGAGTCATTGCCACTTGGTTCAAATTCATTCCCATACGAGAATGCTGCAATTTGCCTTTTGGATTTTAGGGGACTTGAGAATGTTGGACAAGAGGAGCTTGTATAGGAAGTAATTTCTGTTTGTCTATGTAATGCTATCACGTTATAATGTCCCTGAACTATTAGTAAGTTGTCAAGTTGATGTTTTATCTAAATTTCCTGGGGAAAGATGCACATTCTTTGTGTAAAACAGCGAAAACCCCACAATGCATGAGAGTTTTGCTGTTCTGCTCTGTCAGCCAGCAGGAGAAGCCAACTAAATCTTTTTCTCCCTTGCGGGCATTTGTGGACCTGTTCTCCTCCCATTTGCTTTACTGCTCTAAACAGCTGTCTTTAAAGAATCATTTATTGGGTTGACACATCTGCACATGCCTTAGAATAGCATTGTAGCTCTCTGTTGTGTAACAGAAATCAAATGGCTTTGTTTATGGTTCTGAAAACATTTTCATTGCAAAGTGCTGCGACTAAGGATCTGTAGTTCTCAGACTGAATTTAGATCAAGGTTACTGGCAGAAGAGTCAGAAGTTGGTTAATTTAAATGCCAAATTCCCCTCGGCTGGGACGTGCAGGTTTGCGAGTATGCTGAGCATGTCCCGGGTGAGGCTCTGAAAAACAAACAGTGAAAACTGCCAGTGTGTCAGGTAATTGGATACATCTTGATACAGTTTCAAGCCACCTGGAGAGATTCCCTTCTCTAAAATGGTACCTTATTTCAGCAGTGGAAACTGGGAAATGACAGAAATACAAGCAGCTGTACAGAACCTTCCGAGTTTCTATGCAATGAGTGTAATCTTTGGTAGGGCAAGGGGGAATGGTTTTAAACTGAGACAAAGGAGGTTTGGATTAGATATTAGGAGGAAATTTTTCACTCAGAGGGTGGTGATGCACTGGAACAGGTTGCCCAAGGAGGCTGTGGATGCCCCATCCCTGGAGGCATTCAAGGCCAGGCTGGATGTGGCTCTGGGCAGCCTGGTCTGGGGTTGGCGATCTTGCATATAGCAGGGGGGTTGAAACTAGATGATCTTTGAGGACCTTTTCAACCCAGGCCATTCAACCCATTCTATGAATCTTACTTTGGACAGCAGAGCAGTTCCTTGAAGTTGCAGTAACAGATGGTCTCGCAGCCTTCTCCTTCCCAAAAGTGATCCTGCAGGTTCTCATCAACTTGCCGGAGGCTCGCCATGCCCTTGGGAATGCTTTGACAGCTGTGGTCATGCAGGACCCTCTTATAGCACTTGGGCTGCCAGGAGGGCACTGTGTGGACACCCAGGAGGGTACTCAGCAGAAGCAGAACTGAGAGCATCTTCATTTTTGGAAAGTTTCCTGTGCAGTGGTGCTAAATAGAAATGAGATACGTGACACGGATACAGCTGTTGGATGGATCTCTTTCCCCAGTCTGCTTTCTATCTTACATTTTTCTGTCTTTCCTGTGAACTTATGGAGGCTTGAGTGTCTGTGTTGGAGAGTGTTTTCTCCTAGGAAGTAAATAAGATTGCCATGGAATTGATATTCATTACTTTCTGTGCAACCACGGGAATCCTATCGCTGGGAACTGAGGCTTCTGTTGCTGGCAATTTTGTTGTTACTTGCCCTCTCACCTTGAGAAAATTGCTCTGAGTTGGCCGCGTGCTCTCAGCAATGTGAGTGAGCACACTGCTGGCTATCAAGGCAGGGAGAACGTGAGTCTCATTGCTTTCCAGGTGATTTTGGCTGGTTGAGAATGTTGAAATGAGTTACTAACTTAACATTAGTAGTATGTTTCCGTGTAAAAAGTACGAGCATTCCTAGTTCTAACTATTGTAACGTCTAGAAAGATTTTGTTGTCTTTCATTCTGTTGGCAAATAGTTGATCCCTTTATGCTGCCACTGCAGACTTCTAGGCTGTCGCATGTGGGTACAGGATAGGGTATTCTAAACTATCCTGGACATAATTAGCAATAAAACACCCTCTGAGCAAAGACCATAACAAATGCCAAGTTCGAGTGCCATAGCTTTTATCTAGATAAGAAAAAAATAGGGCATGACAGACATAGAGGTCGCTCAGATAATTGAGTCTTGCTCATGTTATTTTGTGGAACACTTGAGTCACTCTTGAAAAACAAGCAATAAACTATTAAACATATACATATACTGTACTTACAGTATTTTTTTTCCTATGTAGGTTCTTAGCTACCATAGCTATCTTGCTGATACTCTGTTTCTTCAGCCGATGAATGGCAAGCTGGAGACAACTTAAGAAATCTGACAATTTGAATTCATATTAGGGATCAAATGCTACACTGATGCTCTTCAATTATATTTTCCATAAGAAAGATTTTTTTCCGTAAGATTTTGTGCAAACTTTTAACATCACTGACCCAATAAAGTGTTAAAAATTGACTAATAAGTAAAGGAATATAATTACAATGATAATAAACTCTTGTGTATTTTCAAACTTCCGTCGTAGGAACAAAATTAATTGAACAGTTCCTTCTAGTTTCTGTGAACTTGTATATGAACTTTTGAGTAGTAGACTCCTATAAACTACTGGTAATGGAGCCTTGGGGATCTATTTTTAAATTGCCTTAGAGTGCAGTATTGAATAACACACTGTCTTTATTAGTTTTAGGCCTCAAAACCACTTCTCAAATAAAGTAAAAATTGTTCTTTGTCTGATGTTTCAAGTAAAGAATCTGCATTGTTATACTAATAACTTTGTTTTGTCGTAGAAATACTGCAGTTATGCGGGTTCTGCTCAGAGATCTGTAATGCTCAAAGAAGTTTGTGCTGTACCTCATAAACATCGGTGTTGAGGAATACAGTTAAACATCTTTCTGTTCAAATAATTGAACTTCATTATGTAAGTATTTAATGGAAGAAACATTCCATGCAAAAGATATTTAGGAAACAGATGAGGTTTTTGTCTTTGTTTTCTGTGGTTGGATTATTCTGCGAGTTGCTCCCCTGAGGACAAGGCATTCGTAATATCTTGTGCACGTTTTTTGTACTTTATTTGAATGAGTTTTCCCTAAATGGAGTTTAGCTGGAGTGCTCATTTCAATCTGTTGCCAGCTGCCGATCTGCTCTAAATTAATAGGAACACATTCTGTCCCCAAAACTGACAGATTTTCTGCAGGCTGTCAAATTGCTGGATTCAAGAATCGTGATCTACAGCTGAGGATAACTCAGTATTCACTTTGGAGTACAGGAAGGTGTTGCTATAGTGCATCATTGAGAATCGATATGGATGGCTGCCAAAAGTGGGATTAGCAAAGTCATGTGCCAATGAGCTGTGGATAGAACAGCTTTGCTCACAGGCTGGTTATGCATCTTGCCTACTCGTACTGCTGCTTTTCAGAAAAGTACTTTATTAAAATCGTTGGGTTTTTTTTTCCTGAATACTTCCTGTTTCTTTGTGGTTAGTAACTGAAAGGAAACTTTCAGTTAGAAGACCTTTCTTCAAAAGATTGGTCCTTTACTGTAAAAGAATGGTGCCTATTTGCAGGTGAAAGATTGCTAGGGACCTGGGGTGTTTCAGCAGTTCCCTGCACAGGGTCAGTGGTGATAAACCTGGCAGACCTTTCAGATACAGGATCTTCTGTTTCCTGACAAACTGCTGCAAATTCTTCCAAACGCAGTGATGGAATATCACTTGATTGCTTAGGTAAACAGCAGAGCTAGAAAGTGCATATTTACATCAAAATGTACGTCAAAGACCTTATCTACCTTTGCTTAGCATAGAAACAGTCTTCTCTCATAAAACAAATGAGGGAAATTTGAACAAATCCGATCTCCAAAGTGACCCACAGAATCATTGCCAGCAAAACGGTGTTAGATTTATGTAAAAGCAGCAGTGTCAGCCACACTAAGCCTGACCAGATTGCTCTGTCAAGACCGTATCACTTCCAGTTCTAACAGAGGAGTTAAGCCATCTCGAAATATTTAAAATGAGCTTCTGGCAGTTGCAGAAATCCATTTTAAGCAGTTAACTCCCTGGTTACTTTGACGCAATGTGAGTAAAGTTCAGGGAAGAAGTTCAGCTGGACAAACAAATGCTTTGGAAGAGTTAGAATTTTGCATGGAGCAAAATTCATTTCATTGTGCTGTGATTCAGGAATTACTGCTATCCCTGCTCATTCAGCAGAGAGCATGTGCGTTGTTCTGACAAGCCATTTGGCAACATCTCATAGTCAGAAAAAGACTAAACAAACAAAAAAACCAACCAAGTTTCAGCATCCAGATCTGTGAATTAAAGGGTAATATTTCATGAAGTTAGTGATGCTCTTTGAAGTCCTGTGATACTGCTGGGAACTCTGGTGTGAGCAGTAGGAGACAGAAAAAGGCAAAACTGAAGAAGGGCTCAAAAGTATATGTCATAATGTCTCTAGGAAATCCTTCAGGATTAGGAAAAGATGCATGTTTACAAGTTTTGTCTCTTAACTGTACTTTTCAGAGTTGTTATGCTTTTCTGTGCATCTCCAGTTGCCTAATCCTAAAAATGAGCAGCATGCTTATCTGATACTGACATGGCGTATGATCTTTTCCAGTCAGTTCAGTGACATGCTGTGTTAGCAAGCTGGCTAATTGTGCCTTAAAAAGTGAAGCAAATGTTATTTTCTAAACGTATTATATGTATACATCACACTCTCTTTGTGTGTGGAGTTCAAGAGCTAAAAGCACCCACTTGGAATTAAATGCTCTTTAATCATTTGTTATTCGTCAGGTTATCTTTCAGAAACACCTGCAATTCCTGGCTTCAACCTGTAAAAAGCAGAACTTAACATTGAATATTTCAGTGTTAGTGCATTATAGATAGGCTTATTAGTACATTCATAAGAAATCATTACACAAGAACTGCATAACTGATATTATTATAAAGAACTTTCTTCCATAAAAAAGTACTCAAATCTGTTTTGCTTGAACAGTTGGTGCATTGTGAGGACTGCAGCTATTCCACTGAGGATGAATTCGGTGAATTGCTGCTTTGTAATTCCCATCAATACTATGATTCTTTCCAGAAATTGAGTTCTCATTAAAATCTATTTAGTTCTCTTAAAGTCAGCAATTTGTTGTGAGCACACCTCTCTCTGCATTTACCAACTTTGCAATAATACTGAGTACAGGAAGGCAGTGCAGCACGTTAAATGACTTTGGATGTTAATATCTAACATTTAACCTTGAAGAAGAGCAAGATAAGAAAGAAGGATCTTTAGCTGGATCATACCCACACGTTTGGCTCAACTAACATATTTTGCCTACAGTGTATCTGATCTCCCTCTTCTGTATGTTCCCACATATATTTCTAATTCTGCAGTCTTTAATAGCACCAGAAGAACATGTGAACAGGGATAATTTCAGGAACTAGACATACCTTTTTCCTTTGCTTCTCTCCTTTTCACTTTCTTAGCAGCTGTATCTTTTCAGATGTACACAGAGCTAGAGCTGGAGGGGATGAGCAGAGGGAGGGCTGATGGAGGTGCTGGACAAACAGCCTTTTGTCCAGCCTGGCTTCTGTCTGTGAGTGACACACTCCCTGCTCCAGAGAGGGGCAGAGGATGGGCTTCAAGAACTGCCTCTTTCAGACACTGCCAACCTTAATGAAGGAAAGAACAGAGAGTGCATCCCTTCCATCAGGAAGCATTTAGTCCATCCAGGACCTGATGGCAAGGTGTCTCCTCAGTGAGCAAACCACAACACTCAGAATGAAAGGAGGGAGTGCACTGTGGAATACGTGCCCTGCTGTGCCACCCAAGCAGGGCTGTGCTGAGCAGGGCACGCAGCCAGCCAGCAGGCTTGTGTAATCCTTGCCTTTGAGATTCTGTTTTTTTGAGACTGAAAGAATGGAGAACTGTAATTATTTTAGCCAGATTCTTGTATGGCCTACAATATGATACCATGCACTGAGTTCATCACTGGCCAATGTTTAATGGAGAAGTAAAGGGTTACACTGAACAGTATTTCAGAGGAAGTTATATTTGACTAGTATAACTATTCAAGTAATCTGGTGTGATAAAAACACACAAATTGAGGTCCTTGAATAGATCCGAAGTATTAATAAGAAAACAATCTCTGGGGTAAACTCTGGGACTTGGTCAGTGTCCTTGCATTTCTTTTGCAGCTTGGGTCCCTCTTTGGTTCTTGTTATCTTGTCTCTATTTCCTCAAATGGATAGGGAAGTACAATTGTACCTCAGATTTTGATCTGTAGTTTTTTACGTTGTCTAGTAACTAGTGCATCATTTTGGTTCTCCCATTTCTTTGTAAGGATTTGTAGTTCTATATCTTGTTGGGCAGCTTCCAGCGCAGACGTTCGTTACGAGTGCGAATAGGTACCTCTGCTCAGCTGCTCCAGTTTACAATTCAATGTCTTGATGCTGTGATGCTTGCAGCTGTTACACCTGAATTTGTACCCTCTGGCAGGAGCACAACCATCAGGGCATTCCCCTCCGTGCTGCAATAGGGAGCAGGATGTGTTCTTGTACCTCTGCAGGATGCCTTTCTCTTTTCAGGATAATGAGATGCCTTGCTCTGTTTTTCTACAGTAATTCCTTTCCAGTGTGGATCCTAGCCCTTGCTGTTCATGCTCTAAATGAGATTATTCTAATGCCTCTGTGAAGACATTGGGTCTCAGTTCCTGGGAAGGACCTGATGGAACAGCAGACAAGCACTCTGAGGGTGGGTCACTTTGTTTATAAAATGGAGTGGGGAGAATATTCTTCTAAAAGCATTCTATTGTGCTTTGAGAAGAGACTGTTCTAACAAAAATACTGTTTTGATGGTGCATTGGTGCTCCTCCCTGCCCCTGCTCTGAGGTCTATGTTTGATGTCTCCAGTCATTGCAAACATTCAGGAACAAGAGGAAATTTTCTCTCCTTGTGCTTCTTCAGTATAGAAGTGGGAAGTAAATGTTTTAGGGAATCTAGGGGGTGAGATGCAACCGAAGGCTACATTGGCAGTTGTAGGAATGGCTGTCTGAGGTGTAGCTTATAGGAAAAAGCATTGAAGGATAGGGCAGCCTCTGATGCTGGTGGCCTTGAAGAGAGCAAAGTGCAAAGCAATGCTTGCAGATCTGACTTCTTTCTCATTTTTTCACTAATCTGTTGCCCTAAATATGTTT